CGGTGTTGTACGAGGTGGTCTACTTAACTCGGTGTTGTAGAAGTGGTCTACTTAACTCGGTGTTGTACGAGGTGGTCTACTTAACTCGTTGTATGATGGTAACTCGGTGTTGGTACGAGGTGGTCTACTTAACATGGTGTTGTACGAGGTGGTCTACTTAACTCGGTGTTGTATGAAGTGGTCTACTTAACTCGGTGTTGTACGAGGTGGTCTACTTAACTCGGTGTTGTATGAAGTGGTCTACTTAACTCGGTGTTGTACGAGGTGGTCTACTTAACTCGGTGTTGTACGAGGTGGTCTACTTAACTCGGTGTTGTACGAGGTGGTCTACTTAACTCGGTGTTGTATGAAGTGGTCTACTTAACTCGGTGTTGTACGAGGTGGTCTACTTAACTCGGTGTTGTATGAAGTGGTCTACTTAACTCGGTGTTGTACGAGGTGGTCTACTTAACTCGGTGTTGTACGAGGTGGTCTACTTAACATCGGTGTTGTACGAAGTGGTCTACTTAACTCGGTGTTGTACGAGGTGGTCTACTTAACTCGGTGTTGTACGAGGTGGTCTACTTAACTCGGTGTTGTACGAGGTGGTCTACTTAACTCGGTGTTGTATGAAGTGGTCTACTTAACTCGGTGTTGTATGAAGTGGTCTACTTAACTCGGTGTTGTATGAAGTGGTCTACTTAACTCGGTGTTGTACGAGGTGGTCTACTTAACTCGGTGTTGTACGAGGTGGTCTACTTAACATGGTGTTGTACGAAGTGGTCTACTTAACTCGGTGTTGTACGAGGTGGTCTACTTAACTCGGTGTTGTATGAAGTGGTCTACTTAACTCGGTGTTGTATGAAGTGGTTCTACTTAACTCGGTGTTGTATGAAGTGGTCTACTTAACTCGGTGTTGTACGAGGTGGTCTACTTAACTCGGTGTTGTACGAGGTAGTCTACTTAACATGGTGTTGTACGAGGTAGTCTACTTAGCATGGTGTTGTATGGAGTGTCTCCTCTTGACAACAAAACGTAAATATCCCGCACAAGGTAGGCAATGCTTGAAGGACATTGCCAACTGCGCAGCAAAGCTGAACAACATAACTAATGCATAGACTGACCTTCAGAACACACTTAAGTCTCAAGAAGCTCGTCACACTTGCTCTTCAACACTTGTAAGGCGCCTGTAGTGCTGGCTAACGGTGACTAGACATATTCCCAAGGTGATCTCACATAAGAACATAAGAATGGAGGAAACTGCAGCGGGCTTATTGGCCCATACTGGGCAGTCCCGTTTACACCCAACCCCTATTGCTCATATAAGCATCCAACCTATGTTTGAAGCTATTCAGCGTATTCGAGTTAATGATGATATTTGGTAACTTGTTCCATTCATCCACTACTCTGTTTCCAAACCAGTGTTTACCTATTTCACGCCTAAATCTAAATTTGTCTAATTTAAAACCATTGTTACGAGTTCGCTCCTGGTTGGATAGTTTGAGTACCTTTGTAATGTCCCCTTTGTTTAGCCCTGACTTCCACTTATACACCTCTATCAGGTCGCCCCTCGCTCTACGTCTCTCGAGGGAGTGCAAATTAAGATGTTTTAACCTGTCTCTATACTCAAGGCTCCTAATGCCCGGGATTAGTCTTGTCATTCTCCTCTGGATTCTTTCCAAGGATTCTATATCCATTCTGTAATACAGTGACCAGAATTGAACTGCGTAATCCAGGTGTGGTCTCACAAGCGCAAGATACAGTTTTCGGATGACCTCGCTAGTCTTGTAACTAACACTCCTTTGTATGAACCCAAGTACTTTCTTAGCCTTGTTACAAGCAAAAACACATTGTTTACTTTGCTTAAGGTTCCTACTTATCATTACTCCTAAATCTCTCTCGCAGTCGGATTTCTCTATGGCATCGTTGTTCATCTGGTATCTGGTTTCCCTGTTTACATCTCCTATACTGAGTACTTTACATTTGCCCAGGTTGAATTTCATCTGCCATTTTTCAGACCATTCGAAAAATTTGTTTAGATCTTCCTGTAGTTTTGCTGAGTCCTCGTCAGATTTAATTACACGTCCTATTTTAGTGTCATCAGCAAATGTACTTATGTTGCTGTCTATGCCGATATCTATGTCGTTTATGTATATAATAAATAATAATGGTCCAAGTACTGAGCCTTTGGGAGCTCCACTAGTGACGTTGCTCCAATGGGACTTAGTGCCGTTAATGCTCACTCCCTGTTTCCTGTCCTGTAACCACGCCCTAATCCATTTAAGGATGTTACCTTTGATGCCAGTTAAGGGGAAAATGCAACGTGGTTATCGGGGCCTCTCCTCCCTACCATACAAAGGCCTGGGTGAAAATTTTGACGATTTGACCAGGAGGAGGAGGAGGAGAAAGGGAGAAAGAAAAGGGAGGGGGAGAGGAAGAGAAGAGAGGGAGGGGGAAAGGAAGAGAAGAGAGGTAGGGGGAGAGGAAGAGAAGAGAGAAGAAGGGGAGAGGGAGGGAGAGAGAGAGGGGGAGTTGAGGAGGGTCTTTATATAGCTAACGAGGCAATGGGCCCCAGTTAATTGCATTCTTTGTGAGTACGTTATTTAGCAATCCTCTCACACGACTCGCGAAGAGAGAGAGGGGAGTGGTGTTGGGGGGCGTGTGGTGGGAGGAGGTAGTGTTGGGGGGTGAGGAGGGAGTGTTGGAGAGATGGTAGAAGAGAGGAAGTTGGGTAAATTACGACAGCTTCGCCAACTAACCACAGCAGATACGGGTGACTCAGTGGTGACTCTCAAGTGATATCAACGCTTATATTAATGTACCGAAGACGCCATCCCTACCAGAGAGCTGCTTAGGGTTCAGTAGTCCAATAAAAGCTCAGTTTGTGATTTGTGGGAGGTAACCTGTAAACTACAAAGGTTACAAAAGGCTGGTAATACAAATCCTTTCTCAAGTAGATACGTTTTTTACATTTCCCTGAACCTATATTAGTGTGTGTGTGCGTGCGCACGAGTGTGCTTGTGTGAATGTGTGTGTGCTTGTGTGAAGGTGTGTGAAGGTGTGTGCGCTTGTGTAAATGTGTGTGTGTGCTTCTGTGAAGGTGTGTGCGCTTGTGTAAATGTGTGTGTGCTTCTGTGAAGTGTGCGTGCTTGTGTGAAGGTGTGTGCGCTTGTGTGAATGTGTGTGTGCTTGTGTGAATGTGTGTGTGAATGTGTGTGCTTGTGTAAATGTGTGTGTGTGTGTGCTTGTGTGAAGGTGTGTGCGCTTGTGTGAATGTGTGCGTACTTGTGTGAAGGTGTGTGCGCTTGTGTAAATGTGTGTGTGTGCTTGTGTGAAGGGTGTGCGTGCTTGTGTGAAGGTGTGTGCGCTTATGTGAATGTGTGTGTGCTTGTGTGAATGTCTGTGTGCTTGTGTGAATGTGTGTGTGCTTGTGTAAATGTGTGTGTGTGCTTGTGTGAAGGTGTGTGCGCTTGTGTGAATGTGTGCGTGCTTGTGTGAATGCGTGTGTGCTTGTGTGAAGGTGTATGTATGTATGTACTGTATGTATGTGTACAAGAAAACCACCAGGCTCCGGTTCAGTCATCTCTGGAAGGGGGGGGGGGACACCACACCACACCGCTATGTTTCATGATGAACGACCATGACTAAACACTGAAACAACAAATACACTACTGTACAGCCAAATGATGGTGTCAGACCCAGTTCTTACGTAGAAGCGTGCATGAGGTAAACACGCATGAATGACGCCATCTATTGCACAAAAACAGCAACTTTCTCTCTCTATTGCCCGAATTTCCTGGTTATTATCGCGTTCCTGTGATGGTAGGTGGCGTAGTTTATGTCATAATACTTAGGTGACATTAAGCTAGGAAATATTCGAATTCATTTTTTGTATTATTATTCTCTGCGGCTAAATTTTCGAGCGGTTGCAGTGTTGTGTTGCGTCATGGTTTGGTAACGAGTGATCTACAGTGGAGTGATTAGACGAAGGGCAAGCGCCATCTTTAACTTTCGCTAATGCTTTACACATTTGTTTCGTTGACTACATAAGAACATAAGAAAATAAGGAGCCTGCAATAGGCCTGCTTTCCACTCGTCCACCACCCTATTTGTGAACCAGTTCCTTCCTATCTCCCTCCTAAACTTATCCAACTTAAATCCGTTGCTCCGAGTCCTATCCTGCTTGGATATTATAAGAACTTTATCTATATCTCCTTTATTGATTCATTTCACCCACTTAAATACTTCTATCACATCTCCCCGCACTCTTCGTCTTTCTAGGGAATGCAAGTTTAGTTTCTTTAACCTGTCTTGATATGGAAGGTTTCTAGTTTGACTCTGCGTTACCTATCCTGATTGTTAGTTGTTACCCCCCCCCCTCCCCCCTCTCTCCTCCCCATACATTGCCTCTCCTGCTGCCTCGTATATGAACTTTGCTTGTTGCTGTGTGTGTGTGTGTGTGGAGTGTTCGGTAGGGAGGTGAGTATTTCCTCCTACTGGTGAGATACAACACAGCGTGACCTGAGGCCTCATATACTGATTCATACCTGTATACCTGTATTTACTGCTGAGACAGGTGTTACATACACTACGTCGCCTCCAGCCCCCATTCTACAACCTTGTAGCTAGCTGTCCTCACTACTTCCTCGTATCAGCTGCTGCTTTGTTTAGTGTCCTTTGTTTAACCCCCATTTAGTATTGTTCACACGGCACTGTCTCATGCCCACGTCCAGTGCCAGGCGTCATGTTCTAGCCATAGCTCCATGTGTCGGCGGTTAAGACCAGGCAGTGTGTCCACATGGCCAACAACACACATAAATTCATTCATGCGGTGTTGGTACTTTCACCTGGGTGGTGGTGAGTGGTATAACTAGTAGGAGGGCTGGAGGGAGGGAGCGAGCGTAGTCTGGGTCTCAGGTCGCTCTAACCCTCACCCACTACCCTCCAGTCCTCCACCACCTCACACTCTAATAAACCTTTAATTATCACTAAGTATAACGTCTTGCCCGTGGCTGACTTACCTGCTGTGTGCTGTTTAATTCTGGACAGTAGATATGATACGGAGGACAAGAATCCCCGCACCAATGTCGTATCCATATCGTAACCACTTAATAGACTAACACTTTATAACCTTTTTTTTTTTTACTTTTCTTTCCACCAGAGTGTCGTGTAGTATTTCTAAACAGGTTCACCTTCGCCGCAACTTCATGGCTATTATTTTCACTCGTAAGTCGGGATCAAAACACTGCACACACCGCGTCCTCCTGCACCTGCGTCTGTCGGGAACTGACATTGTTTAGTGAGGACGGTGACTAGGTGTCTGTGCTCAGGGCTCAGGTTTTCTCAAGGTTTGCCTTCCCCTACCCCTTCCACTCACTCTGCCCCCCCTCCCTACGCCTTTATACCTCCCTTGCGCCCCGCCTCGACATCCCTTCCCAATGCCCTCCCTTTACACTCTTCTATTCCTCCCCATCTCCCTACGTCCATCCCTCACGCCCCCCCCACCACTTCACTTACGCCACTCCGTCTTGTCTCCTACCTAACATAACCAGATCACCTGAAGAATCACTACCCCAGCTTATTTCGCCTAAGGATTAACCACCCCTAATACTATTTGGGTTAGATTAGGTGTGCGTAAGGATGGTTAATCGTTTAAGCTGGGGTGGAGGTTCTGAAGGTAGTCTTCCCCTATACATATCTATCCCTCCTCTCCCTTCGTCCCTCACCCCCGTTTCTCTCCCTCTCCTTCGTACTAATGGCTCCTCTACCACTCCCTCTCTCTCGCTCCGTTATGCAAATGGGTGAAATAAGATTAGACGGGGGAGGAACAGGGTTAATAGTTAGAAAATTGAAGAAATTTAGGAGGATGTAGGAAAAGGGTTCTTATGTGTCCCTGCTACAAGGCCACAGAACCTTCCCCGACTTCACCCTTCCTCTCTCTACAGTGGGATTGCATCTTCAGAATTAATCAGTGTCATTACGTCACGAGGTAATGCGTACTGGAGTGTTGTTGTTATGTACTGTATATATAAACAACCTCCACCTCTCACCTTCCTTCCTCTAACCTTCCTTCGTGCGTGTGAGAAAAAGGTTGTATTCTATCTTATTTATTATAAACTAAATCCATAATATATATATTTTTCATTTTTACTTTTATTTGAAAATTTAACAACCTGGAAAGTATATTACACACCCTCATTGTTGATATCAGCCTGTGTATTAACATCTTTCACTACCTAAGAGAACAAGTTACGGATCGCCTGAAGGATCTCCACCCCCCAGCTAATACTATTTTGGGAGTGGGTGAAGCTAGGTTAGGTTAGTTACTCTTCCTGAAGGTGAAGTAAGCTGGGGTGGAGAGTCTTCAGGTGGTTTGTTTGGTTCCTCTAGACGTGTTCCTTCACCAGACACGACAAGAATGGGCGTGTTGATCCTGATAGAAAAATAAACATAAGTATTGTGAGTTTCTATTCCCTGACTAACACAAGACCTAGCCGAGTACAGAGTAGGGAAGGAGGGTGTGGGGAAGGATGGGTAAAATTGGTTCAGGTCATGCGAGGAAGACGAACAACAAGACCCAAACACGAATGAATGGACACTTCAAGAGAGCAAGAAGAGGAGGAGAGTTAGAAGAAAATCAACATCAAGCTAAGAAGAATACCAAGACATCTCCTCTGCACAAGAAAACAATACACACAATCAAGCCGACCAAGCACTGAGAAACCATGGCCCAACCCAACACGCACCTGACGCTTGACCTGACTCTAACCTGACTCTGTCCTGCCGCCTCCTGGCCGCGTCCGGGCGAGTTGCTGCTGCCTCCAACTTATACTCCCTCACGCAAGCGGTGTTTAGCCACTGCACCTGTTCTCTCCTCCTAAAATTCACTTCAATCCTCCCTGTATCCTTCCCCTGAACCTCCTTCCCCCCCTGTCACTAGCATTTCATGTTCATGGCAGGTACACTATGACCTGACTTTACCCCCACCTTATAGATTAGTGGCGCACACAGGGGGAGGTTTCCTGGTTGCCCGGAAACCTCCCCCTCCAGGTACTGGATGGTGCGGCCAACCAATACCTGACCTGGCGACACCTAGCAAGCTTTGTGGAGTTACATCCCACAGTGGTGGCCTGCTTGGAGAAGATTGTGGAGGGTGGTCCTGCAATCTGGTCCACAGTCTCACTGACTGATGCCCAGACCCTGCTTCTCGCCATCACCAGCACAGGCTTCATTGTGTCCCTGGTGATCACCAACAATGCACTAGGGTACCTGAAAGGTGTGACCACTAGCCTTCAGGCAGAGGCTAAAGACATAGTTGAGGCCAGCAGTGAAGTTAACTATCTTAAAGCAGCACTACAAGACGTCCGAAACAACATGGATGATCACTACACTGTATGGTTTTGTCAGGCAGAACAGCTGTGTGAGGCCGTAGGTATCACACCTTCCATGCCCAGACGCTGCAAACGCCAACAACACCGAGACAACATGTCAGCTGACGGACCAGCTGAATACTACAAGAGAACTGTGGCCATTCCATTACTAGATCATCTCCTGGCACAGCTGGAGAAGAGGTTCACCCACCTGTACCAGAAGCCATCCAGGGACTCAGCATTATCCCATCCATCTTGGCAACTGTGACACCAGCAGAGAGAAACAGAAGAATACAGGAGCTGGCTGACCTCTACCGGGCAGACTTGCCATCCCCTGGCAGCGTCAGCAGTGAGGTACATACCTGGCGTGTCAGGTGGGAAAACAAAGCCAAAGAACGGGCCCAACCAGTCTTCCAACTACACTGACCACCACCCTCTCCCAGACACCAAGTTCCATGTTCCCCAACGTGAGGACCCTGCTCATTATCCTGTGCACCCTGCCAGTAATGACATGCTCTGCAGAAAGATCTTTCAGTGGACTGAAACGAATAAACACAACACTCAGATCAACAATGGAGAATGAGAGACTGACAGGCCTGACATTACTGCACATGCACCGAGATATACCAGTGGATATAAACCAAGTAATTGACACATTTGCACAGAGAAATCTCAGGAAGATGAAATTTGCCAATGTACTTGCAGAAAAATAAAGGCAATGTATTTTACGGGTGTTCAAAAACTGTTAAGCAAATTGTATGAGCTCTGTTAGTGTTCAATGTTAGTTAGTCATTATATACAAGTATTAAAATGCTTAATGATTGTTACACATTCAGTACAGTAATAACCATATTATATACTCTATATTTAGTGCAGTAAATTCATGTATTTTAAAATTGTGTAAATAAAATATTTAAAAAAAATATGACTTCTATTATCCTGTAATATAAGTCTATATACAAGGATTGGGATGCTAAATTACACCATCTTCAACCTCAGATTATTTCCTAAGATTCAGTGCAAATGGCGTCAAATATTGGTCAGCTGAAAGGGCTCGCTACGCTCGCCAGACTTCTCAGTAATCTGGAAACCCCCCTACTCAATTTCTGGGTGCGCCCCTGTAGATCTTCATCTGTTAAAAAGGGGGGAGGAGAGGAAGTTGCTCGTGTAGTGAGCAACATTCCACAGTAATATAGGAGGTTATTAGAGCAACTTTATCCTTGTAAGTAAAAGTATGGCGGGCGGTGAGGTATGATAACTGGGGTACTTGACTAGTGGATCCTGCAGGGTGAGGCGTCTCAACTCTCATCTGATTGGTGGTGTGTGGATGATCGCACTGATGTACTGTGTGGCCGCTCCTACACGCACCCCCCCCCTCTAGTCCTCCCTCCCCCCATCAACTCTATATATTCTTTTGTTTATTTGTCACCCCTCCCCCCATTTAACTAGCCATTCGGGAGGATATGCTGTCATGATTTTTTTTTGTAATTGGCAATTTGGTATGAGATGAAAGCGAAAGGAGGATTATTATTATTATTATTATTGTTGTATTATTGTATTATTATTATTAGTAGTAGTAGTATTAGTAGTATTAGTAGTAGTAGTAGTAGTATTACTGTATTATTATTGTTTTGGGTAGAGTCAAATTCACCCTGAATATAAAGACGCATCTAATGAAGATTAGTCACCCCTTGCCTATTTCACCTGTTGATTTAACACACTCATACTAACCTAACCTAACCTAACCTAATGCCCTCTCTAGGTAGCATGACGATGTTTAATCATTAGGTAAAATAAGCTGGGTGTCTAATCGGTGTAATCTAGCTCGAACGATCGTCTGTTGTATGCGATATTTACTTTATTTGGTAAATGGTTAGGTTAGGTTAATTTGGGTCAGGTTAATTTAGAACATAAGAATGGAGGAAACTGCAGCGGGCCTATTGGCTCATACTCGGCAGTCCCGTTTACACCCACCCCTATCGCTCATATATGTATCCAACCTATGTTTGAAGCTATTTCCTAACCAATGTTTACCTATCTCGCGCCTAAATCGAAATATGATCGCGGTTAGGTTAGTTTAGGTTAGGTTACTTTAGATTAGATTAGGTTAAATTACATAAAACAGACAATCGTCCAAGTGGGATGTAATCGTCTAATACACAGAGTTCCCCCCTACCCTCACTGTTGCCAGGGGAGACGCCGCGCTGCCACCGTCAGTGATTTAGCAACTGTTAGAGGAGAGCGTACTGTAAATACCCTGCCGGAGTTTACATCTCAAGTGTGTGCGTGTGTGTGTGTAAACCTTCTGTTGCAAGGACTGAATGCAAACACCCCTGGGTGCTGTGCAGGTGTTGCCGTGGTGGTCATTCCCAAGGGCCCGTGGACGTGACCAAGAACTGCTGGCTGGGTTATCTTTTTTATTTTTTACAATTATAGGTTGTCTTGTGTAATTCCCAGACCGGTTCTTTAATACTGTGGGGTGCCTAGCTTAGTGTTGTGGGTTACCTGGCCTTATACATTGAACTGGCTGGCAAGACTATTAATGTTAGTTGACGATATAACCCCGATTAGCTGAAGGTCGGCCGCCGCCTCCGCCTCCCCTCCTACCTCCCTCCCTACACCACCACCCAGCTTAGTTCACCTGAAAAGTAACAACATCATTAATTTGACCTTGTGTGGTTTAAGTTAGGTTGGGTTAGTGTTAGGTTAAGTAGAGTTTAGCGTTAGGTTATGTTGAAGTTAGTGAGTTAGGTTAGGTTTGGATATTGCTAGGGTGTTTAATCTTCAGGTGATCCCTTAACTCTTAAACCAAATTTATCCGTAAAGATTCCTTAAAATTTAATCATGAATTATATGTCTCTGAAACTATTGATTATTATAGTAACGACATCAACACACAGTAACGACATCAACACAGAGAAACACTACAACACACACAGTAACACAACAAC